CTGCAAAAGTTCACAAAAGGCCACTTAAAGTATCCTGGTTATGTCCTTAAAACTTGCTGCTCTTGTAATTGAGATGGGGTTTATTTAAGCGTTTCCTTCTCAACACGAAACAAGAAGCAGCAAAAAAACCAAAAAAAAAAAAAAAAAAACAGCAATTCCAAATTGAGGCAATGCTTCATCTTCCTTCGTGTTTCCTCCGCTGCTGCGTTGTTTTTGGCGGTTTTGAGTTATTTCGCTTTTTATTTTATTTCAAGGCAACAGTGCATGGGAGGATATTTAGTAAATTTGACATTTAGTTCAGGGTTAAAAATAGAATTCATTTTTCATAGGAATCTATCTTTGTGCATTTTTTTTTTTTTTTGGGTTTTTGTTTAATATTTTGCGAGGGTTCTGCCATTGATTGAAATGATAACGTCACTGGGAAGTTATATCACATTATTTTTCTTTTTAAATTTAAAAGGCTTTTTCGTGAGCTAAATTATAATTTTGTATGGCATGTTTGCATGTGTATTAAGATTAGACAATTTGGCAAATTCGTGAAAGACGTACGAATTAAAGAAAAAAACATTAAAACTAAAATGACTGAATACGGCAGGGTCAAACAAATGATTTCCTCGAGAATATATCTTTTTAAGTTGAGACATTGTTTTTTTTCAAACTTTCAAACATACCTTTAATACTGTGCGACAAAATAAATTTTATTTTAGTAATTAAAGAAAAAATCCAGCAGATTATGAAAAGAGAGCGAAAACATAGACGATAAAATTTGAAATAAAAGTCTGATTGCCTTCAAGTTTCGCACAACCCAACATTTCTAACACCTAAAAATTTGGTAAAAAGTGGGATATAGACTACATCTCCTTCTGGTACGAGAATTAAGTTTTCATTTTTCTTCGAAATTCTGAAAATGGAATAAATTGGTCCGCTGTTTTGGTACCGACTCAGCATTTTGAAAAATCATAGTGCAAGTCAAAATATCTGAGATAAAAAACTGCAACAAAGTCAAACGTCATAATTTTTACATTTTTTTAAAATGTTATTGAATGAAAGCAAAAAAGGTCGAAAATAGCATCAAATTTTAAAATAAGTTTAGATTTGTTCGAATTGGTCACCTTTGACACAAATTACGGCCTTTAAACAGCCAATGATACCGTTACACACTGCCCGAATGTTGATCTGCCGTATTTTGGTCAATTCCCGGTAAAGCGCTTGCTTGAGGTGATTGACACTTTGGTATTTTTTTAGTGCCAACCTTGCTTTTCAAAATACTGCAAACACAACAGTCCAACGGATTGGTATCCGGAGATTTTGGTGGCCATTAGGCGCTGGAAATTAAGCGAGGAACCTCACTTTGTAACCATTTTCGCGCGTGGCGCGTGCTGAGTGCGATGGTGCTGAGACCTGTTGGAATGTCTAAGGTCTGCGGCCAAAATGTTTGCTTGCCGAATGCTTTAATAAACCCTCCAGAATATTTTCGCGATAATATTCCCCATATATTCTGATGCCACGGTCGATTAATACAAGCGGATAGCGACCATCGGCTGTTATGGCGAACCACACCATCACCATGGCCGACGCTTGAGTTCTGGTGGCCAACGGAAGTGCACATTTTCAGCTGACCTCCTTGGCAAGTAAACACGATCATTTCGTTTGTATACAAACTGCTGGACAGCGGATATTATCTCATCGGAGAAAACCAAATTCGGCAGTTCGCCACTTTCGGCCAAGCGAAGCCACTCTTTAGCTCTTTTCAGTCTATTTTCGTTCTGTTGCGTTGTTAGTTCTTGCACTTTTTGGAATTTCAATCGCTTTACCCCGAGCTCATTTTTCAATATTTACCGAATAGAATATTGCGTTATGTTCGTTTGTAAAGAATATAATGAGCTGTCACTGGAATAATTTTAAAAGCTGTCGGACCTGTGGCTTAGAAATGACAACAGTATGAAGTTAGTTTCAAATTTTTCATCTCACTCTGTATAGTACAATCCAGTACTTTTCGTGCAATTATAGTACACATTTCCCAAACCAACTCCATAACTCAATCCTAGATATCAACAGACCCCTCAGTATCAAATTTCAGGATTCCAGCTATCTCTTTAGCAAATACCCAATTTAGTATCAGTTAGTACTTTTCGAACAATTATAGTACACATTTCCAAGACTACCTTCATATCTTAACCGCAGACACCAACAGTGATATCTATAACAAATTTCAGGATTTCAATTCTATTTCCTCGCTCAACATCAAAGTTAGTACTTTTCGTTATAGGTCGTATTTCCAAACTGCCGCCAAATCTCAAACACAGATACTATCAGCAATCTAAATATAAAACTTCAGATTTTTATATCAATCCCTTCACCGAGTACACAAATATAGTACAATTCAGTACTTTTCGTAAAATTATTTATACAGGGTTGCCCATATTCGACGGACCTTTGGGCCCTTTGGGCCCATTCCAATCGACGAGGCTTGTCCGCAGGCAACATTCTTTGCGTCAATTGGCAACATTCTTTGCGTCAAAAGTGGACCGAGCCATGCCCAACTGCTGAGAACGGCGTTTTTGGGATGTTCTTGGGGACCTCTCAACACTGGCTCGTTCGACAGCGATTTTCTCGGCCGATCGCCTTGGTCGACTTTTATATGGCCTCTTCGGATTAGAAAGAGCCTTACCAGTCGAAAATGGTGTTCTTAGAAGGCGCACTTCTCACATTTTTTAATGTTTTAAAAGCACGTTGAGTTTTTACAATTGACTTCTTTTAAATTTCAACTATTTCAGAGCGCTCGCGTGGCGGGTATTGGTTCACGGTAAAAATCAGCTTGGACTGACGCTTCAAACGCGGTATGTCATTAAGCGATGTGACATCTCTGTCAAAAGTTATGGCGTTGCCAGATGGGTCCGTCGAATATGGGCAACCCTGTATTTTGTGGTTGAGGTACCATACATATTCGATATTTACACTACATCTATGGCTTACACGAATATAATTATTTTACCCATTGTGGGTGTGGTATCTGAAAAATGAACACTAGAACAAATTTTAATTAAGGTATTGGATTGTCCGAAGTTAGAAGAAACATCGAATAATTATTTTTAATTTTATGACACTTGACTTATTTAAAATCTTGACCGCTTGTGTGGGGAGGTATCAAAGGTCGACCCTCTATTCACATTAGATCTCGAGTTTAGTCAAACATTGGGATATACTAAGTTTGCATAGAATCGCTGAATTATTTCGAATTTTATAAGGGTTATAAGTAACCAAAATGTTGATTATTTGTAGGGAAAATACCAGAAGAAGTGATCCAAAATATTCCATATTTACACCAGCTCTTTTGTAGAGATGTGCAAACTTCGAAGACACTGTGACTTTTATTGCACATATTTATAAGAGTTATAATTATTCGAAAACGTTCCCCTTTGTGGGGGATATTCTTGATGAAGTGGTCTTATATATTCCATATTCACATTAGATCTTGTGTTGATATAAATACTGGGATTCTAATTTTCCATTTTATGACCTTCATGGTCACTCCAAAATTTGACCGATTGTGGGGGAGTGAGATATAAAAAAAATGCAACAAAGAATGAAAGCAAAAAATGTCGGAAATAGCATCAAGTTTTAAAATAAGTTCAGATTTCTTCGAATTGGTAACCTTTGACACAAATGATGGCTTTAAACGACCAATGATACCGTCACAAACTGCCCGAATGTTGCTCTGCCGTATTTTGGTCAATTCCCGGTGAAGCGCTTGCTTGAGGTGATCGACACTTTGGTATTTTTAGTGCCAACCTTGCTTTCCAATATACTCCAGACACAATAGCCCAACGGAGTGGTATCTCGAGATTTTGGCGGGCATTGTGCGCTGGAAATGAAGCGAGGAACCTCATTTTGTAACCATTCTTGGGTGCTTGTTGGAATGTCCAAGTTCTGCGGCCAAAATGTTTGCATGCCCAAGGCTTTATTACACCCTCCACGAAGGAACTCTTCAGCTCTTTTGAGTCTAGTTTCTTCGGTTGCGATGTAAGTTCTTGAACTTTTTGGAATTTCAATGGCTTTACCCCGAGCTCATTTTTCAATATTTGCTGAATGGAATATTGCGATATGTTCAGCTCACAAGACATTTTTCGGCCACTGGGAGGGCTTCGATCAAGTCGCTTCTTTTCTTTTCGAACCATTTCTGCTGATGTTGCTACTTTCTTCCGTCCACTTCCTTGACGTCAGGCTACGCTACCAGTATCACGGTAGCGAGCGGTATTTGATGGGGTGAATCGATATTATCCATTTTCTATGAAAATGTTTACTTTCTCAGGGGTAGACTGGACCTATATTGCCCATCTCCGAACTCGGTCTAAGTTTGGCAATAATATGACGATGTACTAAATTTGGATTAATTCGAAGACTCCCTTCGAAAGTTATCGTGTGTACCAGCCAGCTAGATCTCTATCATATGGCTGGGAGTATAAAATTGAAGTCTCTCTAAAACTCTCTAAAAACCCTACATTTTATTTTAACGATTTTCTGTATCTCAACATAATGCTCTTTTACTTGTTTATATTCCAACAGAGAAATGGACATCTTTAATTAGAATTTCATGCGGATCAAAAATATAGTCATTTGTCGGAATATTTTAAATTTTCTATGAATTTTATGATTTGTGATAGTAACATATTCTAGTCTGATAGCGGCAGCTCATTAAGGTTTGTCGTCTCGATTCATATATTGATATCTTAAATTCGGACCAAATTTGCCGACCAGCAACAAAACACTTAAATAAAGTTGAAAATGGGAGTTGTATTCTCTTTATCGCGCTGTTCTTGCGAATGTGCGGTACCATGTTCTTGGGCCAAAGCCAAGTCATCTTCTATCTAGAAGCGTAGGTTGTAGTTAATAACCTAATTGCATAAAATGATAAAAATATATATTATCTATTTTTTTTCTTAAAATACTTAATTTTGTCTTCCCTTTTTTTCATCGCCAACTCTTTCTTTCCAGATATATCGACTACATGGATGGAACTCACAGTCATGTCTTGACTTGATGCAGAAGGATTTGTTCCATATTGGCAAAAAGCCAACAAAATAAACAACGCATATAACTAACTAACCGACATTGTCTTTGTTTTTTCGACGATAATACCAGCAATCTCCATCTTCTTCCCTTAAACACAAAGTTCGAAAAAAAAAGACGCAAATACAGAGGAGAACAAAAAGGAGAAGTCGTGGCACCAACTAAACTCTGAACAAATATGTTTGTGTTCTATGACTTTATAAAAAAAGAAATGCCACACAACAACATTTTGCTTTATTAAACAGCAGATAACAACAACAACAACGCCGACGACGACGACGACTGGCTTTATTCGCCATCCAAACTTTATTTGTTTGTTGTGGTTGTTTTTGTTGCCGATTGCAATCTATTTTCTGAAGTGGATTCACTCTCGACCTGATGTACGACAATTTGCTGTCGACACTTTGTCATCGATGATTGAAACTATGAAAGCTGCAAACAGTCGAATAATCAATTTCGGCGGGATCTGTTTGCTGCTGCTGTCTATTATGAGTGGTAAGTTCGATTTATGCGGTGTAGACATGGTTATTATCAATAAAGTGCCACACATGGAATGGGGCCGACAAATTGAGCGATAATACTGTATTGATTTGAAATATTTGAGAAAGCTAAGATATGCAAGCATTTATGGAAGCAAGCTGTTATTTTCTTGTGACACCAGTAGAAAGATTCATTTTTTTGAGTTCAGACATCATGACACATCATCCATCGTCTTATACGATAGCTAAAAGCATTTGGGATAGTAAAATCTTAATACTCATAAAAATCTAGACTGGTTTCTTAATTATCTTGGAATTCTGTGAAAATAAAAATTATAAATTTGAGATATCTGAGATAAATGGTATTGATTATTTTATCGAAGCTATTCATACACTTGTTCATAATTATTATCCCCTGTTATTTTTTTTTTAATTTTGCTCTGCAAAATAATTTTAATAACTTTAAATCCACTCGTGTATAATGTTATAAACTATCAATTTTTCTTTGTTGGCAGTATCGGTGCGATTTTAATTAAATGTTAATAATGCCATCACAACTACAAAGTCCAGGATTAACATAAATCAAACAATGATTTATTAATGGCGCCGATACCATTCTGTATTCCACACAAGGATTCTATTTATCACTGGAATTCATAGTTGACATCATTGTAATGAAATAATTTATATGCGTACCATAGAGGGGGTTTGAAATTCGCGAGATGTTCGAATAGCAAAGGAAAATTAATGAAAGAATAGAGTAGTGTTAGTAACACTATAAAATTGTTTAAACTGGAGAGATCCCCTAGCAAATGCCAAATTTTCCGATTTGATTTTCGATGGAACATTTGGAAGATTTCAGCCGAAACAGTCAAACGAACCCACCGTGACATAAAATTTGACTTCTTAAAAGATTGCTGGCAAAACGTCTAGGTAGGCTCACTATTTGATGTAGCCATAATATAACTATATATAAAACCATTTCGGCAAAACCCAAGAGACTATACTTAGATAAATAACCAAGGTAAATTTTCACAGATTTAAAACCAACTTTCATTCAAAGATTTAGATTTTATTCTGTTTATACACCACACTGTGCTCAGGATATAATGTCGCATGCCGTTGTTTGTAACATGGAGAAGAAAGCAAGATAGACCCATACTTCCTTTTGATGATCTGCATAGAATCACACTCCCAGTCGATTTATGCATGTCCGTCCGTCTGTTCATCTATCTATGTATTTTTCTAAAGAAAGCACAGGTCGCATTTATTGTCCGATTGAAATGACTTTTTGTACAAGTCATTTGTTAGACCCTATTGAAATTGGAAATAATCCATCAAAATTTAGATATAGTTCCCATATATATCTTCGTCCGATTTGCCTTTATTGTGCACCAAACCGATTTCGATCAAATTTGGCGTAATTTTTTAAATTAGGTCGTATGTGCAAAATTTCATGTAAACCAGCCCAAATATGTAGTATGAAATTTTGAACATACGACCAAATTAAAAAAAAACTACGCCAAATTTGATCGAAATCGTTTCAGGTATAGCTATAACTTCCATATACAGGGTGGGATAAAAAAAACTGGAAAAAAGTCAAACGCCATAATTTTTCATTTTTATACCCTCCACCATACTATGGAGGGTATATTAACTTTGTCATTCCGTTTGTAACTCCTCGAAATACTCATGTCAACAAAGTGTATATATTCTTGATCAGCGTAAAATTCTAAGTCGATTTAGCCATGTCCGTCTGTCTGTCTATCTGTCCGTCTGTCTGTTGTAATCACGCTATCTTTCGAACGAATTGAGATAGAAGGCTAACATTTTGCACAGGTATTTATTTTTCCAGTAGGCAGGTTAGGTTCGTAAATGGGCCATGTAGGTCCACGTTTTCATATAGCCTCCATATAACGGTACCTCTCGATATTCGGTATTTTGATGATTTTAGCGACATTATTCACCGCATTTATTTCAACTTTGGCATTTGAAGTTCGTAATAGATACTACAGCCTATGATAGAAAAATGTCTATGCAGGTCCAGGTCTTCGTATAGCCCCTATACAACGGTACCTCCCGATATTCGGTATTTCGATGATTTTAGCGACATTATTCATAGGAATTGTTTCAAATTTGTTATTTGAGATTCGTAATGGATACTACAGCCTATGACAGAAAATTATCTGTGCAGGTCCACGTCTTCGTATAGCCCCCATATAATGATACCTCCCAAAATTCGGTATTTTGATGATTTTAGCGACATTATTCATCGGAATTGTTTCAACTTTGGTATTTGAAGTTCGAAATGGATACTACAGCCTATGACAGAAAATTATCTGTGCAGGTCTACGTCTTCGTATAGCCCCATATAACGGTAACTCCCGATATTCGTTATTTTGATGATTTTAGCGACATTATACACCGGAATTGTTTCAAATTTGGAATTTGAGATTCGTAATGGATGCTACAGCCTATGACAAAAAATTGTCTGTGCAGGTCCACGTCTTCATATAGCCCCCATATAACGATACCTCCCAAAAATTGGTATTTTGATGATTTTAGCGTTATTACTTAACGGAATTGTTTCAAATTACGTATTTAGAGTTCGTAATGGAAACTATAGCCTGTGACCCAAAATTGTCTTTGCAGGTACAGGTCTTCGTATAGGCCCCATATATCAGTACCTCCCAATAGTCGGTAGGTACAATACCCACCGAAATTTTTTGAGATGTCGTATTTGACGTTCGTAATGGATGCTATAGCCTGTGACAGAAAATTGTCTATGCTGGTCCAGGTCTTCGAACAGCTCCGATATAACGGTACCTCCCTATATATGATATTTTGATGATTTTAGCTACATTATTCACCGTTTATTTAAATTTTCGAATTTGAATATGGCAATGGCTTATGACAAACAAGGCCTATGTAGGTCCACGTCGTATAGACCCCCAACATAATGGCTATATTCGGTATTTTTAAAATTTTACCAGAAGGGCTTTATTTTTTGAAATTTTTCAAATTCGTTCCAAATGGTGGAGGGTATTCAAAGTTCGGCTTGTTTTTTTTAATATTTCGGAAATAGCATCAAATTTTAGAATAAGTTTAAGTTGGCCTTCAAACGGCCAATAAAACCGTCACACACTGCCCGAATGTTGATCTGCTGTATTTTGGCCCATTCCCGGCGAAGCGCTTGCTTGAGGTGATCGACACTTTGGAATTTTTTAGTGCCAACCTTGCTTTCCAAAATACTCCAGACACAATAGTCCAACGGAGTGGTATCCGGAGATTTTGGTGCCCATTGCGCGCTGTTAATAAAGCGAGGAACCTCATTTTGTAACCATTCTTGGGAGGCGCGTGCTGAGTGCGATGTTGCTGAGTCCTATTGGAATGTCCAAGGTCTCCGACCAAAATGTTTGCGTGCCCAAGGCTTTAATACACCCTCCAGAATATTTTCGCGATAACATTCGGCATTTATTCTGATGCCACGGTCGATTAATACTAGCGGAGAGCGACCATCGGCTATTATGGCGGCCCACACCATGGCCAGCAGTTGAGTTCTGGTGGCCAACCCAAGGTGCTTATTTTCAGCTGACCTCTTTGGCAAGTAAACACGATCATTTTGATTGTTTACAAACTGCTGGACAACGAATGTTTTCTTATCGGAGAAAACCAAATTCGGCAGTTCACCACATTCGGCCAATAGAAGCAACTCTTTAGGTCTATTGAGTCTAGTTTCTTTCTGCCCTTTTTGGAATTTCAATGGCTTTACCCCGTGCTTGTATTTCAATATTTGCCGAATGGAATATTGAGATATGTTTAGCTCACGAGCCATTTTTAGGCCACTGTGACACGGGTATCGATTAAGTCGCTTCTTTAAATTTCGAACCATTTCTGCTGATGTTGCTGTTTTCTTCCGTGCACTTCCTTGACGTCAGGCTAGGCTACTAGTATCACAGTAATGTGCGATGGTACGAGACACAAGAGATTAATTCACAATAAATTGCTGGAGTGATCTAATGGTAGCCACTTGTGGTTTTCCAGCCAATTCCATCACAAATAATTTTTTGTCTGGAAAACTCTTACCAAAATGCTTTTGTATGCTTGTTGAGCTGTCACTGGAATAATTTTAACAGCTGTCGGACTAGTGGCTTAGAAATGAGAGTCTGAAGTTGCTTGCAGTTGTTTCATTTCACCCTGTAAATTTGTTTAGAGGTATTCTTAAGATAGAAAACCCTCTTAATTTTTCAATAATTGGGATTTGAAAACAAATTGCTAAAAATAAGTTAAATATTCCTAGTCTAACATGCCCTAAAGGGTAGCTTATCCCTCTTTTAATATAAGATTTGAATACTTTATTTCTAGCTTCATTCTTTTGTAAGATTATCAATATTTAATATTTTGTTCTATTTCATACAATAACAACTTACCCATTCTATTATCGACCAAATGCAGCGGAATACAAGCACGTCATAAATGCATTAAAAATTGAATAAATTTTATATTTTATGCGGCTGCCATAATAAAGTTACTAAAATCCATTTCACAATTTCCCATAATTCATAATCTATACTTTTGCATTGTAAATAATGAATTTTGTGGTTGGCCATTATGTCCAATTCAATTCGCTGGTTTACGTTTAATTTAATTTTTGAAGTATTAAATTTATAGTTTTCAATATGGCCAAGAGATAACGACGACGACAACGACAACGGTGTTTTTGGCATTGGCTTTAGTCAGCATTTCTTTTTTTTCAGAAAATAAAAAATAAACTTCATTAAATATTTAACATTTTTTAAATAAAAAAATACTTTTGTTAATATTTTATTATCTAAAATGCGCATCATCAACATCATATCCAAGGATATTTCACTGAAGTGTATTTTCCTGCTGTGAGTCTTATTCCGGCATTCCAGGAAAATGAGTGTTCGAAAATTCCAAGCATTTTATGAACTGCATAAACTTTTCACTTCCGTTTGGCAGAAGGCGAAAAAAAACTTGCTCACTGCATCAGCA